CTGTGAACTGTCCTTAAATATCACATTTTGGTTCTTACTATGTCACAGAGCCCCTGATTATGACATCAAACATGCAAACAAGCTAAATACACTACTAACATGGGCAGCATCCTGCCCACACGCTTTTATCTTTCTTGTTGACCTCAATCTACCTCATATTAATTGGACCCTTAACAAATGTACAACTGAACCCACACATGCAACCTTCTACAATGCAGTAACAAATCTGGGACTAGAACAACTGGTAACCAATAACACTAGACTTAACAACTGCCTCGATCTCATCTTCTGCAATAGTTTGAATTCAATTTACGGAATACAAATTAAAGAACCCTTTTCTAACAGTGACCACAACATGATTGACTTTTGTCTCAACATACGTCCGCAAAAAAAATCAACACAATGATGGAATCCCCAATTATAACTTCAAAAAAGACAACTATGATCTTATAAACAACGATCTCTCATCCCTTGATTGGCAATTTCTATTCTCTGGATGCAATACTGTAGAAGACATATTTTTAGTTGAAGTCAAAAGAGTCATCAAACTATATGTACCATTAACAACTCCCAAAACCAGAAAAAACAAATTACCCAAAACAATAAGGAAGCTTCAATCCAAAAAGAAATCACTTTGGTGGAAAAACAAATCTGGTCATGTTGCCAACTTCAAAAGCCGATACAAAAATTTATGCCACCAGATAAAAACTGAATGCACCAATTATCACATTAAACAAGAAAACCTTCTACACACCAATTCCACCCGCACTTTCTACAATTTTGTAAACAAACTAAAAGACTCAAGGTCCATCCCACCCCTAAAAGGACCTAATAGTAAAGACTGCAACGACAATACTATTAAAGCCAACCTCTTTAACACATTCTTTGGCTCAGTATTTGTAAACAGCAAGGATCATGCCCAGTATTTCCTAGTCGAACCACAGACAACTACAATGATCCAATACATATTGATTTTACAGAAGACAATGTTGAAAAAGCACTATGCAATCTAAAACCATCTCTATCTGTTAGACTGGACGGAATATGTGCCTACTTCTTAAAAATGCTACCCACTGCCATAGCCAAACCTCTAAGCATAATCTTTGAAAAATCTTTCAGGACCAGCTCCTTGCCAAAACTATGGTCACAAGCCACGGTCATCCCCATCTTCAAAAAGGGAGACCCCAGCCAAGTTGAAAATTACAGACCAATCTCTTTATGCTGCGTCACTTGCAAAGTCATGGAATCAATTATTAACCAATCCATCATCCTCCACTTACAAAAACCTACTCTCTAATAAACTATTTGGTTTTAGGAAAAAAATATCATGTAATCTTCAACTCTTACACTGCAAAAACATATGGACTACACCAGTGGCCCCCAAGCTTTTTTGTGCCACGGCCCGGTACCGGCATCACAAAATGATCCGCGGCCCGGTACCAGCATCAGCATGCATGGCAAGGCAAGCCGAGCGACCGGCCAGCCAGCCGTCCTCCACTTCTCCCCGCCTCCTTCAACTCCTTTGTACTTTGTCGATGGGCTTCGGGACGGCTTCGGGACAGTCGCTCGGCTCACCTTGCCTTGGGTGCTGAAAGAATTCTCGCGCCTTAGTTTTGTTCGAAGCCGCCCCCCCCCAACCGATGAAACTAAGGCGCAAGGATTCCTTCAGGACCCAAATGCCACTTTCCAACCAGAAAAGCTCACTGGAAGCACTTTCTCATCAAAACAAGATGGCGGCGCCCAGCAAACCGGCGGCCCGGTAGAAAATGTTCCACGGACCGGGACCAGTCCACGGTCCGGTGGTTGGGGACCCCTGGACTACACAACTCGATCAGGGCAATGCAATAGACGCAATCTACATAGACTTTTGTAAAGCCTTTGATTCAGTGGAACACGACAAACTACTCCTAAAACTAAAACCTTACTCTGGACACCTGCAGAACTGGATAGAAGCATTCCTGTCAAACAGACAACAAATGGTCAAAATTGGGAGCGTCCTATCAAATTCTGTACCTGTCAATACTACTAACTAGAGCATACAAAACATTTGCTAGACCAATACTTGAATATAGCTCATCAGTCTCGAACCCACATTACTTATCTGATATTAACACAGTTGAGAAAGTCCAGAAATATTTCACAAGAAGAGTTCTCCACTCCTCTACTCATTGCAGAATACCTTATGCCACCAGACTTGAAATTCTAGACCTAGAAAGCCTAGAACTACGCTGCCTTCGGTCCTATCTCAGTATAGTATATAAAATCATATATTGCAATGTCCTACCAGTCAACTTCAGCTTCAACCATAACAACATAAGAGCAAACAATAGATACAAACTCAAGGTAAACTGCACCAAACTTGATTGCAGGAAATACGACTTCAGCAACAGAGTGGTCAATGTCTGGAATACTCTACCTGACTGTGGTTTTTTTCCCCAAAACCCCCAAAACTTTAACCTTAGACTGTCTACTATTAACTCACCCCTTTCCTAAGAAGTCTGTAGGGGGCGTGCATAAGCGCACATGCCTACTGTTCCTTTCCTATTGTTTCTTTTATATATTTTTTTCTTATATGTATCCATGTATTCATAACTATGTTTTTACTTATACCTATTATCTTGTAAGCAATTGACAAATAAAATAAATAAATAAACTGTATGTAGAAATGAAGTTTAGCCATGATCTTTTGCATTTGTGGCATAACTACATAGTAATTCAAGAACTATACTGATAGCTTAATTTGCAAATAATAGCAAATGCAGTATATTCACAAGTTCACATAGCTGTATAAAAGTGTTTACATTTATTTTTGTAAAAATTCAACAGAAGCTGCAACTTAGGAAATCTCTAGTTAAAAAGCTTCCAATATGTAGGAATATTTTCTTAATGAGTCTGCACTTCAGGGAAATGGAGTTCTAAATCCTTATATGGTTTTTGCATAAAAATGAAAAAATGAACTTGTGATTTGTGGTTTTGATGATTAGGGAGGATGGAAAATAATTCTAGAAATGACAATCCATGTCAGGAGTCTCTACAAGAACATATACATGATAAATTAACACAAGAGTAAAGTGCACACTAAAATGAAATTTTCATGAGAAGGATGATAGAAGACTAATTTAACATGTTCCTTTTTAATAAAGGCTCTGCACTAAATGCATCAAATTCCATTTTTACAAATCAAACCAAGAACCAAAAAATATTAAATATTACATGCTTCTTCATATTTATCTTGCCAATTTAATAAAAAAACTAAACAGAAATAGAAGCATCAGTATTTAAGAAGAAAGTTTAAGTCTTAACTTAAAAGAATACTAAAATATTTAACATATTTTAAAAGTGAATTATGCTCATAGACTCATTAAATATGAGAAATGTATACTACTTCCTGTCAATTCAGCTATCAAGACAATACATTGACTAATATTGAGACAACTGCTAATACTGTATTTTTTTATATTTATTTTTTCATTTTCTTTCCCTTAGATCAGGGGTGTAAAACTTGCAGCCCATGGGCTGGATGCATCACGTGCTGGCCCCACTCCCTCCCGGTTTAGCAAAGGGGGAAATGTTCCAATAGGTCACATGATGCCATTGTGACGACACAAGTTTGACACCCCTTTCTTAGACACAAAGAAATATGCCATCTTTGTGATTGCTGTATTTGTTGAACCTTTCAAGAGATAAATCAGAAATGGGAGGGGGGCTCTAAATGGTCTAGTAGTAAAAACAGTAATTGATCTAGTGTTTAAGGCATCAGGCTAGAAACTAGGAGATTGTGAGTTATAGTCCTGCTTTAGTCATGAAAGCTACCTGGGTGACCTTGAAACAGTCACTGTCTCTCGGCCCAACCCACCTCACAGGACTGTGGCTGGAGGTAAATAGGAGGAGAAAGGTGATTAGATATGTTATTGAGTTATTTATTTGTTGAATTTATTTATTAAATTTATATTCCATTCCTCTTGCTGTCCAAGGCGACTCTGGGCAGTTTACAAAAATATGGATACAAAACAATTCTAAAAATAAAACAAATTAAAAATACAAAAGATTAAATAGACAAAAGACTGGCTCAAAGTAACAGAATGTGGATGGTGCAATATCGCCTACAGATTCTTCATCGGGGCTTCATGGCATCCAGCAGAATCTGGTTTTCAAGAGGGTGGGGGCAGATCTCTCCTCCAGTGGTAAGTTGCTCCAAGGGCAGGGGACATGGCAGAAAAGGGTCTTTTCCTAGACTCCACCAGCAAAATTTGTATGGCTAGTAGGGTCTGCAATAGGCCATTTCTGCAAATGGGGCAGGGCAGTTCCTCAGATATCCTGGGGGCTTTAGGCCATTTCTGTCCCATTGGGGCAAGACAGTTCCTCAGATATCCTGGGGGCTTTAAAGATATTAACCAACAGTTTGAACAGCACCTAGAAGTAGATTGGCAGCCAGTACATTTTGCATAAGTTATTTTATATATGTCACCCTAGGGCCTCTCCATGCCAATGCATTCTGGGCCAATTGTACCTTCTGAATATTCTTCAAAAATAGCCCTATGCTACACTAAGCAAATAAGAGATGACAGCGCATGAGTGATTGGGGGCAGGGCCTCACAATACAGAAAAGATCAGTTTGTGCACACAAAGCTGCAGAAATGCTCTTAGTCATGATTGCCACTTTGAGCAGCAGTTGAAATCTAAGAGAACCCAGAAGTTGTGCATTGGGCCTGTCTGGAGTAGTACAACCCCAACTAGAACTAAAGATAAAACTCCAGAGGCTCCATATATCCATAAGTACTCCCTTATCAGAGTTCAGGTGAAGCCTGTTGTTCCCTATCCAGGACCCAGCTTCTAACTCCATGAAAGACAGCCACAGGATTATTTATAAAAATAATAAAGATGAAATATAATTACCATAATCTGTTGAAACCATACAGGTAGTCTTGCCAACTGCCTTGTGAAATGACAGCTTGAAATTAAGATAATCTCAACTTTGTGTTCAATTCTTGTATTTATTTTGCCAAGAGCTATGTATGTTTAACTGTGTCTGAAGATAAACCAAATTGTTCCATGATACTGGCAGTTCTTTCTTTAAGCCAAGAAAGGGATGCTCTTTTAGAACCTTTGTGATCTTCTGTGCTGCCACAGCATTCATTTTGAAATGAATCTGTTCCATTGTTTCTGCAATTATTTTTAGAAAGCTCAGCACATGTTATACTATGTTGTTCAACAGCGCAATATTCATGATCAAGATCCATGTCATTAAGAGTATGTAGCAAATATCCAACACTGGGTTGTGGGTTTATACAATTTAAATTCTTAAGCATAAGTTCCTCGTATATTCTTAATTGATTCAGCAGATCAGTCATCTCGCTCAGCATTGCAGGGCTGTGTTTATTGTGATGATACCAAGACAGAAGAGCACTACAATGTAGATATTTGAAACAAAACAAAACAATGTTTACTTTTAAAATGCTAAAATAAACTGGGAATCTAGAAATCACCACTGTATCATAAAACATTACAAATGGATTCTACTTTCCAGAAAATGGGAGATTTGAACAAAAGTTTGAGTGTTTACTATGGCATGGAAATCATTAAGTGTCATTCAGTGGTTCCAATTTATCACATTTTCCACCTCTCGCCTTGCAAAATATAGAGTTGCCAAAGATTAATTCTAAGTTATTCAGGCTATGAAAAAGATGACAGTTATACATTTAATAAAACCCATTATAAAGGTTGGTCTCTGGGGGGAGGGTATCTTTATTTTTACAACATACCTTATGGTTCCTTTGAGCTGGCTACATTCAAACATCACCCTTACTGCTTCTTTGTAACCCTGATTGAAGCCTTGTTGAAGTGTTACCACTTTCCCAGCCTCAACACCTTCCCTATAGCCCTCCTTTTAGCAAAAGAAATAAAATACAATTTGTTAGCATTTGTATTATTTAAATATAACACCAATTAAAATAAGTAAAACAAAAAAGCTAAAAAAGTATCCTTCCAAATTATTATCAAAAAGAAGAGAACAAATGAAATTTAATTTCAGAGCCTGATTCACAGCACTTTTATTTTAAAGAATATCATCAGCTTTGTTCTATATGGTCATCTCCAAAATTCAATTCTGAGGTAAATTCTATCCATCTGGCATCTAATTTTTAAGAATCCCTCTAAAGAGAGAACAAGATTGACTCTTCTGATTCCTATAATAATTATGCCAGCATTCTATGAAAATAGAAAATTCAAGTTAATACAAAAGGAAAGAGAAGAAGTAATAACATCAATCAATATTATAGATTCATTACTTTTACCTTGACTCGTTTCTCCATTGCACTCTTCCATTCTTTCTGGGCTATGTCCATCTCATCTGCATTTTCATCAAATACATCTTCATAGCACTGGCTAATTGCAGACTGTAGCCATGACATTTTGTTTATAGTGCTGATCCAAGAGGCTAAGAATCAAAGCAGATAACAGATAATCAGAGTTGGAAGGGACCTTATAGATCATCTAGTCCAACCCCATTTCTGACAAATGGCAGTTCAATCTCTTCTTGAAAGTCTCAAATGATGCACCTGAAATCGAGCATAGCCGGGCGAACGGGCTAAACCTGAAGAGAATCAAGAATGATTTGAGAAGCATTGGAGATAGTAAACTCTATGACAAAATGAGTCGAAAAGAAAAACGTATTAAGTTCTCTCCTAGCAACTAGCGAATGAGGAAGGCAAAACAAATCGGAGGTGTGTCTGTTCTGCAAAAAAAAAAAAAAAGATGAGCTTCTCCCTAAATGACATATAACGCATTTTTCCCTCCTCCCCTTCAACCATGAACAGATCCGAAATCAAACCCACCTCTACTCCTTAATCAATCTTCCACACTCCATCTTGCCCTCTCGCCAGACAACAATCCAAAGTCCCTAGTGCTTCCGGGGTCGCAGAAGAAGCAGAGAGAAGGAGACATCCGTGACAGAAATGGAAGCTTGCGCCTGCGCATTGACCACATCATGTTGAGTTCGAAGGTCGGGAATACGGTGCTGTCGGATTGATAGGTGTGAACAAGGGAAAATTGCCCGCTCCCGAAATCGCTGTAGATAAAACTCTGAAGTTGTCAGTGTCAGGCTAGCAAATGTTCAGCTGTTGAATGTTGAAGAGGAGACCATAACTGCCGATGGCAAACTGTATAAACACTCCGTGGGATCCAGTTAGGTTCCTAGCTGATTATGAGTATATCCACCTACCTTTCTGGGAAACAGCAGAGAAACCCTTTAATATTTGCCTTCCTCCAGGATTTTCAAAAGTTAAAGTTGACAGTAGTTATGCCACCCTTGACTGGCTACCATGTAAAGATTTTCGCAGAATGAACGTGCTATCATTCTCAATTGACAAATAGTTACGTTGATGGTAATGGGCCCAAATTAATGACAGTTGTTTTTATCATTTCAGCCCTATTGTTTATGTCTCCTCTGCATATTCCATTTGTGTGGGGTAAATGCAGCTTATTTATTATCCTCTCATCCAGAAAAGCATGTTTCAATTAAATTGTTATTCTCTAAAAAAAGTGTTACTCTCTCTCTCTCTCTCTCTCTCTCTCTGTGTGTGTGTGTGTGTGTGTGTGTGTGTGTGTGTGTGTGTGTGTGTGTGTGTGTGTGTTTTTTTTTTTTTTCTGAAATTGCCCAGGAAGGTGTGGAGGAAGGACTTACATTTTTAAAAGTTATCCTTTGTTTCTTTCTCATACTCATCTAGGTAAGTTGTCCAGATGAGCATGAGAAATAATGTATGTTTGGGTAGAACTGGTGTTGCTTAACAGAAATTCAGTCACAAATCTCAATGGGTGACTGCCCATTCTTTTTAAACCCAACATTGCTGTAGGAAAGACAGGAAAGAATGCTGTCTTTTCTTTCTTGAATTCCTGAATGAAACGTGACATATAAAGATGAACTGGACCTACAAATACTTGAGCAAAATAAATTTCGTGATCCAAGATCTCAAAGAATTTTGTTTTCAAAATTAGGAATCAAATTTCAGCCCAACCATATGGATGCTTAGTAAATTACTAAATTTAATGGACTTAATAACTATATATTATAAAAAGTAACTTTTTAATAAAAGTATAGGACTGAGTTAGAATTCCACTAATAGGATTAGAATTGTTATTTTCCAGCTAGTCGTGAACTTTAGACACAAATCTAAAATTATTTAGAAATAAAATAGTCATCAATCCAAAACAATAGTTTCTAGGGGCTTGATATAATATATTCTAATTTTTTAAAAAAAGATCGTTTGCTAATCAGAGCACAATGGGCCTGATTGACAGATACGTTCATTCCCAAGTGGCATCTCTACTTAAATTCTAGTGTTTAGATAATGAGATATTCTTTGCCCCAAATCCAGCAATTTATGGCGTATAATGTTGACAAGGCTAAGATTTTCTTATTGGTTTTTATATACAATAACTGAATTCAAATATTACACTAGGTCATACATCAGATTTTGCTATCCACTGTGGTTAGCATCATGCATTAGGCTAAATGAAAATCAGCTGATATGGTTAACCTTGGAGTTTCCTGGATTTGTGGAACTTTCAACGGCAACTGCTCGTGGAAGCCTCCCAGCTGTTCAACCCTTCACAGAAGGGGGTGGTAGCTGATTTATTGTGCCCTTGGAACTTTCCCAGCATCTATAGACAATGCCTTTAGACAATATCTGAAGGTGAATTGAGTTATAGTGCCCCTGTGGCAAGTTGTAAGTGGAGGCAGGCTGCCAACTGCTCAAATTTTGATCATGGTTAGCAAGGACTACCTATAGTAAAATTTCTGCACGCAAAGAGGAGTTAAGACCAATTACAAGTCTTCAAGGGTTATGTGCATAGAAGCTACTCACAATTGCTGAATTTTCTTTTGGAAAAAGAAGTGAAAACATGCTGATCTTGTTAAGTATGGAAATGTGGCTTTCTTACATATTTTGATTCCATAGTTCCTTTTTATTATAACACATTTAGTCCATTTTCTATATCCAGTAATTCTTTGTAATCCAGTTAATATGGATGTCATAAAATGATAATGTTGACATTGGAATATTGGAAATAGTTTTATTGCTTAAAAAATGGTACAGAAGGATGCAGACCATTAATTTGCTAAATCATTGAGCTAGTCCTTTACCAAAACTGGTGTTAAAATTAACATTAATCAGAAAGTATTACTTTTTACATTCCTCTGCTAAATATACTAAATATCAAATCATATTTTTGAGAAGCATGATTTCTCATAAATTATTTGCAGTTTATTAATTTACAGCAAACCTTGGATTGTTTTCAAGATTCAAATTCTGTTACAAATCTATCACAGACCTTACTTGCCAGCAACAACATAAAACATTATTCCAGCTTTCAATCACTTTCATATTCTAAATTTGGAATTCTAATTATGATATTCATACAAACCAAGAAATATGTGATTAAATAGGCATAATTCAAAATTATTTGGCACAATATTTTTTCTATTTCAGAATCTTAAACAATATACATAGAACATTTTAATTAACATTTATCATTTAATTAACATTTATCAGGCTTCCTTAAGCATTGTAATATTTTCCATATTGTGAAAATGTATTCTGAAATGGCAACACAAGGTGGATCCAAGTTATTCAATTTTATATCTGCCCAATTATTCTAGTCACTTCCTGACTGGATTACCATAATGTACTCTATATGGGGGTCCCCTTGAACAGCATCTGAAAGCTTTGCAAAATGCAAATTTGCAAAATGCAGATGTTCAATTATGTGTCCTATTAAAATAGTATGTTATGCCTTTGCTCTGTGAACTGCATTGGTTGCCAGTCTGCTTTTGAGTTCAATTCAAAGTGCTGTTTTTGACCTTTAAAGTTTTTTATTGCATGGAGCCAGATTATTTGAGAGATCACCTCTCCCCAATTATATCTGCTTGTCTCATTGGATCATGCAAAAAAGGCATTCTATGGATCCCATTTCTCAGGGAATTGAGTGTGTTTGATAGGCCCGAGGAAGCAGGCTTTCTCTGCCATGAAACCTACCTTTTGGAATATTTTTTTTTTTTTGAAGTGGTATCACTTCAATCTCTCATTTTTCAGAAGTCCCTCAAGCCCTGCCTGGCTTTGTCATCAGGCATGGGGTTTTCGGGGATCAGTGTGATCTTAAGGTCACTGTGTTGCTAATCAAACCTCATGCTTTTTTTTAATGACCATGTTTAACATGTTGATCCATTTTATGTTTTTTGCCATACATCTTCCAGAGTTACTTCTTATGAGATGGCTGGTATATAAATTTGATAAATAAATCTACTTATGTGTATGTAGAGCTATAACTATAGATCTGACTAGATCAGTATTAATAAATTCATACTATAAAACAAGAATAGGCCATATACATGTGATCTTAGTTCAAAATATCTCCCAAAATTTAATAAAACCAGTCTTGGGCAGCATCTCTGGTGAGAAATCAGATTTTTAATAGTCTGAATGAAACAAATCCCTCCATAGCCATTTAATAATGCTTGCTGTGAAAATTTTTTTTAAATGTGATAGGGACAAGCAAACTTGATACTTATTAGGTATTGTGGATTTAAACCCTCATTAAATCCCACCAGTATGGCTGGTGATCCAGAATTATGGGAATTGTAATTCAATTCACTTGGATATGAACTTTGAAAGCCGTAATCAGCATAATTGGCATATCATATTTTTATTTCATAATTCAATAATAGGCAGTTCAGAACATAGGTCAGTTTGGAGCCATGTCATGTGAGGAAGTCAGAATCTATACTAAATTAAAAGGACTGGTGAGGTAGTTCTCCACAGACTCAAAGGTACAAAAAAATCATGTATGTTCATAAATCTAAACAAAATCATGTATAATTCATGAATGGATACTTGGTTTCAGCTATCCTCCATTATGAATTCCCAGCAATAAATTACTTACTGAAATATAGAAATGTAAGAATTTCAGACTGTATCATTAATATTACATGTATATTTCCAAACACGTAGGATCAAATATTCTATCATAACAGCATACAATATCCTTTACAATCTTGTCAACTTTCAACCCACATAAATTTAATAAATCTACTTATGTATATGTACAGCTATAACTATAGATCTGACTAGATCAGTATTAATTCAAGATATGATACACAAGGATAAAGAACAAATTTAATGTATACAATAATTTTGGAAGGAGCCATAGTAGAAAAAGTTTCTTGTATTCAACCTGTCTTTGGAGCATTACATTTTTAATAAAATGATTCATTTTTTTGATTCATTTTTCTTGAAAAGTTGCATAAGTGTCCAACAGCCATGGAATAATATTATCACAAATAATTGCCCAAATAATTTTCTACCATAATCATGCACACAATGTCCCAGTTCCTTGTTTCAGAAGCTCTCAAAATTTGCAATTGCTTGAACTCCCAAAATAATATTAGGATCTTCCACCTCACATAAAACCAATTATTTTGCTAAGGTTAGTATTGAACAAGGAATAAATCCACCACTCATCCTCAGTAACTTCAATAACTTCAAGAACAGTTTGAAAGAACAAATACACTGAAAGTATTTTGGAAAAAAAATCTGTCAAAAATTTTTCTAAATCGGGGATGGGGGAAGGAAATCCCAGAAAAGTAATTCCTGGCGCTTGTAAGCAAGGAAGACTAGGTCTAGTTAATACGTACATATTTATTTATTTTTAGAAAATAGGAGCTGCCTTCTCAATAAGAATAAACGCTGCCGCTAATCTTCTGTTCAACCATTGACACGACCCCCAGAAAGTCGCCGTCATTTTTACAAAGCTGTTTCTCTCGGCGGACAGCCTGAAAATCAGTTACGGAGGACTGTTTCGAGTTACACAGGAAGTAAGGAAACCTAAGAATTACTTCCGGAGCAGTTGGTGGAGAGGGGAGGGCAGAGGTATGGAAGTTG